ACCAAGTGACTTCTACATAAACTTATCCATGAACTAAGTGTAGTTTCCCCTCTTTTTTGAGTTGGTCACAGGATCTCCCATGGGACTGTCGGCGTGAGCTGGGGAAGTGGCTGATACAAATGTGCTGAGAGTACCATAGTCTGAGGACCTGCATATGCCCTTTGGTCCTGCACATACTCTGTCTCAGATGCTCCGCTTCCACCATTGGATAGATTTTTCTGGGTCTGCCTGACCCAGTCTTCGATGGACCTGATAGTACTCAGTTAAGATGGAAAATTCTAGATGTGTGGTCACTTGATGGCACAGATCAGGCATTCCTTCACTGCCAGGGCCCAGTAGCCTACCAATTGCACTGAAAAAAAGCATATCATTTTCTTCTGCAAATATCATGGCCTGATTTCAGATCCTAGGGTCCTCCTGCATTGCAACTTTTAAACTCAGACATGTTGCATTCTTTACAAAACCTGCTTTTCCACCACTGACACCTCCAACAACAGTGGAACAGGCCATCTGACATAAATGGGAGGAGTCCTTTCACCACAGTCAGGGTCTGCTGCTGCATCCATCCCACAGGTCAGTGTATGGATTGAATGTTGATGTCTTCCCTGCACCCCAGAATTGAAGCCCTAGCCACCCTTCTGATGTTATCTGGATAGGAGCCTTGGGAGGTAATTAAATTTAATGAAGTTACAGGGATGGAACCCATGATGGGATTAGTGTCCTTCTGTGAAGAGGAACCAGAGATCAAATTGCCAACATGTGTTGGATCATCGAAAAAGTAAGATCATTCCAGAAAAAATACTTACTTCTGCTTTATGACTATGCCAAAGCCTTTGATTGTGTGGACCACAACAAACTCTGGAAAACTCTTAAAGATATGGGAATACCAGAGCACCTGACCTGCCTGTTAAGATATCTGTATGCATGTCAGGAAGCAACAGTTAGAACTGGACATGGAACAACAGACTGGTTCCAAATTGGGAAAGGAGTACATCAAGGCTGTATATTGTCACCCTGCTTATTTAACTTATATGCAGAATACATCATGCGAAATGCTGGGCTGGGTGAAGCACATGCTGGAATAAAGGTTGCAGGGAGAAATATCAATAACCTCAGATATACAGATGACACCACCCTTATGGCAGAAAGTGAAGAAGAACTAAAGAGCCTCTTAATGAAATGAAAGAGGAAAGTGAAAAAGCTGGCTTAAAACTCAACATTCCAAAAATGAAGATCATGGCATCCAGTCCCATCACTTCATGGCAAGTAGATGGGGAAACAATGGAAACAGTGACAAGCTTTATTTTCTTGGACTGCAAAGTCACTGCAGATGGTGATTGCAGCCATGAAATTAAAAGACGCTTGCTCATTAGAAGAAAAGTTGTGACCAATCTAGACAGTATATTAAAAAGCAGAGACATTACTTTGCCAACAAAGGTCCATCTATTCAAAGCTATGGTATTTCCAGTAGTCATGTATGGATGTGAGAATTGGACTATTAAGAAAGCTATAGTCCAACTATAAATTTAGACCATAAAGAGCACCAAAGAATTGATGTTTTTGAACTGTGATGTTGGAGAATACTCTTGAGAGTCCCTTGGACAGCAAGGAGATCCAACCAGTTCATCCTAAGGGAAATCAGTCCTGAATATTCATTGGAAGGACTGATGCTGAAGCTGAAGCTCCAGTACTTTCGCCACCTGATGCGAAGAGCTGACTCATTGGAAAAGACCCTGATGCTGGGAAAGATTGAAGGCAGGAGGAGAAGGGGACGACAGAGGATGAGATGGTTGGATGGCATCACCGACTCGATGGACATGAGTGTGAGTAAACTCTGGGAGTTGGTGATGGACAGGGAGGCCTGGCGTGCTGCAGTCCATGGGGTTGCAAAGAGATACAACTGAGCAACTGAACTGACTGACTGATGAAGAGGAAGACATTGGAGCTTTGTCCGTCTATCTGTCTCTCTCTTGTGCCCACTGAAGAAAGATTATCTGAGGACACAGTGAGAAGGTAGGCAATTGCCAGCCAATAAGAGAGCCTTACAGGAACAAAGCCAGCCAGCACCTCCGTGAGGACTTCCAGCCTCCAGACCTGCGAGAGACAGCTCTCTGTTGTTCAAGCCCCGGGGTCTGTAGTGTTTTGAAACAGTCACCTGAGTTGACCTAAGAAAGTCAGAGTCTCAGACTTTCCCAGCCACAAAGCAGAACAACTGTGGCTGGATGCTAAAACTTTTAGGAAATTTAGACAAACTGGTAGGTCCAGGACCTGGGCTTTAGGATATTCTGTCCATCTCCTCCAAGAGATAACAGACAATTTTTAAGCAAATCGAAGAGTCTGTCTTGGACTCTCTCTCAGCTGTCCCTTGTCTTCTGGGAGACCCTCCGTGACACTCAGCTACTGTGCTCCAATTCCACGAGCTTGTACCTATTGTTTATATCACGTGCCTCCCACATCTGGTCTGCACGGACTGGTTTGTTCCCTTCCACTGGGACATCCCCCTCAAAAAGCCACTTCTGTGTCACTGTCACAATTAAGCTCTGCTGTGAGTGAAGGTCTGTGTTGCTGGCACAGAAACACAACATAAGAACAAATCTTTAATGATAATCCTGTTTTATCCATTTTGTACACTCACTGCTTTTTTTCTTATGAAATCAAGTACTCAATACCTTTCTACCTTAATCATTCACCAAGATGCATTAATGTACGAATATTTTAAATGGAAGGCTTAATTTTTAAACATTACTGAAAACTTCTCTTTGCGATTGAACATGTTTTAGTAATAACACCCAGTACCCAAGAAGTCAGCATTTTTCTCAAATCTCTCAAATTCAATCTACAGTAGAGATTATTTCTCAATTCAACTGAAGAAAACCTTGTCTCACCAGCTTCTGGATTCTAGGAGTGAATGAATCTGCTCTCAATATTTGAGACTCTTACTTGAAAAATGAATTATTAATTAGTGGATGTCTGCCTTCTGGTAAACCCCACAAATCTGGAGATCCAGGAAAGGGTTTTCAGTTATTTTAAAGGAGAGGGTGGTTCCATGCCTTTTGAAAAGAATAATTACCTTCAAAGATAAAATAACTTCTTGCTCAGTAATAAACATCATTCATTCTTTTTTGCCTGTGGGGAGATAGTCATGGAAATTTGGAGGTGCCAAAACTAAACTCAGACAGAGCAACTGGGGAATTCCCAGAGTAGGCTGGGAAGTGGCTGAAGGCTACACTGTTCAGTTATTGCATCAACAGTATCCTCCTGGAAGCTGGTACTTAATTCCATCCCACTGGGTTTCTTAAGAATATCAGTCCACCTTAGATGAATCCCAGCAACTGTTGTCCTTCTCAGTTCAACTCCCATGTCCCTTAAGCAGACAAGAAAGGACTGAGTAAATCAGATGATTAAAATCATGTTAATATTTTTAAGGATTGAATCCATAAAGTCTAGATTGAGTGAATGTATGTATATAAGGACACACATATGCACTCCCTCAAAGCTTAATAAAGGTCATCTGACAAAAGAAGCAGAAAGTTTAGAATTTGTTTTTGTAAAGTCACGTCTGACTCTTTGTGACCCTGTGGACTGCAGACACCAGGCTTCCTTGCCCTTCAGTATCTCTTGAAGTTTGCTCAGATTCAAGTGCATTGAGTTGGTGACACTATCTACTTCATCCTCTCTCATCCCCTTCTCTTCCTACCTTCAACCTTTCCCAGCATTAGGGTCTCTTCCAATGAGTCAGCTCTTCACATCAGGTGGCCAAAGGATTGGAGCTTCAGCATCAGTCCTTCCAATGAATATTCAGGACTGATTTCCCTTAGGATGAACTGCTTGGATCTCCTTGCAGTCCAAGGGACTCTCAAGAGCCTTCTCCAGCACCACAGTATCTAAACGTGGTTGTCTTCTAAACTACTTTAGAGTCAGGAGACACTGATAACATGCCTGAGCTCACTAGTCTTCTAAACGACTTTAGAGTCAGGAGACACTGAGAATGTGCCCGAGCTCACTAGTCTTCTAAACGACTTTAGAGTCAGGAGACACTGATAATGTGCCCGAGCTCACTAGTTCTCTAAACGACTTTAGAGTCAGGAGACATGAGAATGTGCCCCAGCTCACTAGTCTTCTAAACGACTTTAGAGTCAGGAGACATGAGAATGTGCCCCAGCTCACTAGTCTTCTAAACTAATTTAGAGTCAGGAGACACTGATAACATGCCCGAGCTCACTAGTCTTCTAAAGTACTTTAGAGTCAGGAGACACTGAGACTGTGCCCGAGCTCACCACCACAGTCGTGGTTGATTGTCTGATGGCATTTGCGTTATTGTTGCTACCAGCACTCTACCCTCACGATCAAAGTTTTAAGTGTGAGAAAGTGAAATCAGGAGGAATTCTCACTTTTTCTCCGGGACTGTGTATCACTACAAGGAAAACAAGGATGCTCTTAGTGTGAACCAGCATCCCACATAATCCCAAGTGTTTCACACATACAGGACCTGGCGTTGTATGTATTGTGTGTATCCCCTGTTATGCAAAAGTAAGAAGATAGTGCAAAGAAGTTTGTAGTTTGCCCCCAGCCTCAAAGCCTGGTCTGGTGGAGGAAGTGTCCTCGTAGGGACTTGTAAGCATGACACTGCATGTTCTCCATGCTCCCGAGAACGCCGTCTGGAGGGGAGAGGTCGGGGAACCCTGAGCGCCCGTGAAACCGAGGGACTGCTCTCCCAGCCTCTCGTGTCTCTGAAACGCGGTCAGCCAGGCTGTGGGTTCCATGACCGCCCTCCCGCTCTCCTGGCCGAGGCCTGAGAGCCTTCTGCAGAAGGACAGCAAGCGGACATGTGCAGACTCTCCCTGGACACGGTGAGGTAGACAGAGGCTGCCACCGAGGCTGCAGGCAGGAGGGGAAGCAGAATAGACAGCCTCGCTGGGAGAAGACCCACGGCCTTCTGGCTCCGTCCAGGGGGTGGAAGGTTCCAGAACTGGTGAGGAGGGCTGCTTTCTGCCTCTCTTTCACACGCATGCATCACAGGGCGTTTCCCTGATCCGGTAACGCATCAGAGGCACGGGTGCCGGAAGCAGCGGAGCAGAGTCGGGGGAGGAAGCACCCAGGTGCTGCGTGACCGTGGCCCACGGCAGGCCAGGCGCCAAAGCGCCTTCTGTGGTTCTGAGGGGGCCTTCGGGGAAGGAAAGGGTGGCTTCTGAAGGCGCTTTCTGCTTTCTACCTGCTAACCACCCGGGAGGGCTTAGTACAGTCCCGGTGGTCTTCTGAGAGGCCGTGGAGGGCCTGGCCCTTCTCTGGGCTCAGTGTGAGCCCAGGGCGCTTCCAGCAACTTCTGACTGCGGCACGGCCCACTCTTGCAGACACTCCTGAGACGAACGCCAGTAGCTGTGCCTGGAACGGCTGCCTCTTGGGCTGAAAACCACAACCCGGGCTTTTGTTCTCAGGAAGCTCTCATGCTAACGGTGGGAGGCTATTATCAAGAGTTGGGTTCCAAAGAGGGACGCCCTTTTCCTATCAGAATGGAGACATTCCAGAATTTGGGGAGAAGGGAGGGTTTTGGGTTAAACATTGTGTTATTTTGTGAACATCTGAGACAGACCCTAGCTAGGTGGGCTCCGAGAGCTGATAATTACACTAGTGAGCCAATGGAGGTTGTCGTCAAGGCAAAGGCCACACACACACACACACACACAGATACACACACTAAATTAATACAACTGGAATTATAAGAAAAAAATAGTTAGCTAGTTTTATGTCTAAATAAATATCACAATCAGAATATATCTGCTTATTATTTTCTGATAAGGAAACCATTTGATGTTCTAATATTATCATCACATTGTCAAGTCCCTTTATTTAACCTGTTATTACCAAAATTTGATAACATTTGCTAATCAATGTAGCATTTCCAGAGGAATCATTTAAACAATTTAAAATCATTAATGAAAATGTCTGTGGCATCAATGAACAGTAATGGTTGATAGCACATTTCAGAGTACAGTTTGTTTCAGGACTATTCATTTTATATTTACTTTAAGTATGGGATACAAAATAATTTTATTTTTAAATACATTTTATCCCACTTGTTTTCTTTCATGCCTTTTTCTTCTTTTCCCCCACCCCCAACCTTTTCAAAGTGGCCAATTTGGCCTCACAATAGAAATCAAATGCATCTTTGAACATCTAAATTTACTTTAAACTGACTCTGTAGAAGGACGGTCTCTATAACCCTTATAGAAGCAATATTCCTACCTCTTTTTTTTGGCTCCTTAAAAGTGCTTATCAAGATGAATGAGAACAGCGGTGTGTAATTTCAAAGATGAAATTGCTTTTCTCTCCACCTTTCCCTGAGAATTTCAAGGTCACAGGTAAGGGAGGAAGCCTGTAGCCCAGCTTTCTCCTGGGTCTCTTTCTGGGCACATTTATGCTCCCAGGAGAAATGCCCTGTGTTATTTCTCCTCTCGAAAAAGGGTGTGAAATTCCGACTCATTCACACATTGTTGGGTAAAGCTGAAGTGTTAGGACCAGTGAGTGACATCCCGATCTGTGTCCCCAAGGCTGTTTCCTGGTACAACTACTCAACCACCTGAGTTATGAAGCGCGTGTCCTCTAAAAGGCCAGGGAGGGAGGTTCAGGGACACGTGACACATCCCAGGGCCAGGAGCCCTGGAGGAAGTCACACCTTACAGTGTTCAGGGTGGCAGATGGGGGCTCAGAGTCACACCAAACTGTGCACTCTTTGGTTTAATCCTTGACAAAATGTCAGAACATCCTGTCCTGCCTTTTCTCTCCTATCCTCTGAGGCATGCTGCTATTTCAAGCATTAATGTGAGAACCATCTAATCAGGCCCAAATGTTCTGCAGCTTCCATTATGGTTAGTTAGTATCAGTCACTCAATAGCTTCCCTGGTGCCTCAGTTGTTAAAGAATCTGCCTATAATGCCGGAAACCTGGGTTCAGTCCCTGGGTTGGGCAGATCTCCTGGAGAAGGAAATGACGCCCCACTCCGGTGTTCTTGCTTGAAGAATCCCATGGACAGAGGAGCTTCGTACGGTACAGTCCATGAGGTTACAATGAGTCAGACACGACTGAGCAACAAAGCAGGAGTCAAATGGTCCTGTCCGACTCATTGCAAACCCATGGGCTATAGCCCAACAGGCTCCTCTATCCTTGGAATTCTCCAGACAGGAATATTGGAGTGGGTTGCCGTTCCCGTCTCTATCTACCTGCAATACAGGGGTCCTGGATTCAATCCCTGGGTCAGGAAGAACCCCTGCAGAGATACATGGCTACCCACTCCAGTATTCTTGCCTGGGAAATCACATGGATAGAGGAGCCTGGTGGGCTACAGTCCATGGGCCTGCAAGACTTGGACATGCGACCAAAATGTCTAAACCACCAGAAATATTTTAAAGCGTTTTGAATAATAATTTTATATCAATCAGTGAAACAGTGATGCAGAGTGACAATTATTTTGTTTACTTCTAGAAAATTCCTGTTCTTACAATGTAGGAACAAAACTCATGACAGCTTCAAGGAAACTCATCAGCAATGAGTGGGTTGGAGTGAAAATGCTCGGAATATTTATTGGAAGTCAAAACATGAAAGCACTCTTTGGCAATTAATGGGTAATGACATTGTATGATAAATGTACGCCTGGCAGTCCAGGCTACTTCTATTGGATGCTACAAGATTTAGAAGAAATTGTCTGGAGTTGGGTTTCTTGTGATTTCAAGGGATTATAACATCAGTCTCACAGAGTTTTGTGAAAAGTGGAAGAAACAAGGCATTACTACTTAGCAGTGACCGCTCAGTGGTGTAACTGTGTTATTAGCGATACTCAAATACTCGGATCAAAGCCCTTGGGAGAAATGCTTGTAGGAAAGGAAAAGACAAGTGGAGGATCGCAACTTGCATACAGTCCAGAGCCTGCCTGGAGTCCAGTGTTGCCTAAACACATTCACAGGTGGAACTTGCTTGATTCTTTGATGTCTGTCCTCATCCTCCAAGCTTTCCAAAGTTCCAGGACATCACAAGGGGATGTCATTTTAACAGGAACCTCAAGGAGGAACATATTGAAACTAAACATAAAAGCAGCAAGCATGTGGCTTTCCGTCAGCTGGTAGCTCGAGTCTGTTATCTCTGGCAGCTACTTTCCCTTCATGCGTCATGCCTGCACGCCTAGCAAACGCTCCTGGGAAGGAGATCACGGTTTTACCAGAATCTGACCTGTAGCTAGATTTTTTTGAGAGAGATAATCAAAAAATAAGACTTTTCTTTTTTTTATTTTTTACTAATTTTCCTTTTTATTATTATTACTATTTTAGTTTTTAAGATCTTCTGCTGGTTTCTGCCATACAACAATGTGACTCAACCATCCTTATACATACACCCCCTCTCTCCCGAATCGCTCCCTTCCCCCTTCTCACCCCTCTAGGTCACCACAGAGCAGCAGACTGGGCTCCCTGCGCTACACAGCACATTCTCACCAGCTGCCTGTTTTACACCTGAGAGTGTATATATGTCCAGGCTTCTCTCTCCATCCATCCCAGCCTCTCCCTCCCTGCGCTGTGCATACGTCTGTCCTCTGTGTCTGCACCTCCAGTCCATCTCTGCAAATAGGTTCATCAGTTTCGTCTTTCTAGATTCCATAGATATGCATTAGCATACTGTATTTGTTTTTATTTTTCTGACAGTTTATTCTGTGTAGTAGGCTCTAGACTCATAATTGTCTTTTTAAAACATTTGATGTCACTTTAAATAATGGAAGTATAGTCGGGGCTTCCCTGGTGGCTCAGAAAGTAAAGGATCTGCCTGCAATCTGAAGATCTGGGTTCGATCCCTGGGTCAGGAAGATGCCCTGGAGAAAGAAATGACAACCTACTCCGTATTCCTGCCTGGAGAATCCCATGGCCAGAGAAGCCTGGTGGGCACAGTCCATGGGGTGCAAAGACTTGGACATGACCGAGCCGCTAACACTTCCGTACTTCACAGTTGACTTACAGAGTTGTCTTATAATAGTTTCCACAGTGAAAGTGGAGTCACTCACGTGACTTTGCAATCCCGCAGACTGGGACCTGCCAGGCTCCCCAGTCCGTGGGATTCTCCAGGCAAGAGTTCTGAAGTAGGCTGCCTTTTCCTTCTCCAGGGGATCTTCCAGGGATTGAACCAGGGTCTCCCACACTGCAGGCAGATGCTTTACCATCTGAGCCACCAGGAAACTGTCATAGAATTTGTACAACAAAGTGACTCAGCTATGTGTGTGTGTGTGTGTGTGTGTATATGTGTGTGTACTTTTTCCTATTCTTTTCCATGATGGTTTATCACAGGACATTGAATATATTTCCCTGCACTGCACAGTAGGACCTTGTTGTTGATCCATCCTGTATATAATAGGTTGAGTCCGCTAATCCCAAACTCCCAATCCTTCCCTTCCCCACTCCCTCCCCCTTGGCAATCTATGCAGCATCTTTTATCGCAGAACATACACTTCTCAAGTGTTTCACGAACCTGTGCTCTGCTTTCTAGAATCCATGACTTTTTTAATTCTCCCAAATTTGAAAACTTACATTCAAAAGTTTAAAAGAAGGAAATTTTCATCAGAAGGAAATTTCACTCTGCTCAAAAAGCACAGAATCACACTCTCCACAGAGGTTCTTTGGGGCCACATACAGGCTTCCAGGCATCCTGAGCCAAACCAACAGAAGCATGTGTTACAGAGACATGTGGTCCTCATGGACTTCAGTTGACAAAACCGAGCTACTGGAAAATATCATTTTCTCTCTTTCTTCCTTTGTGTCTTTTAAAGGGAAGTGTGTTCTTCCTCTCTATGAAATTCCTACTTACCTGCTCATCATGAAGTTCAGTTCAGCAGTGTCTGTGACTAACTTTGGTGTCTGTCACACAGGATCGTTTACACACACTGACACCAACAAAGAGGATGCTGTCATCTACATCTCTTCCTATTTGCTTAGCTTGTATTTAATCTTTGGTTGATTTTTGGCTGATTTGCAATGTTGTATTACCTTCAAATGTACAGCAATGTGACTCAGTTGTACACACACGTATTATTTTTCAGATTCTTTTCCATTGGACGTTATTGTGAGATATTGAGTATAGTTCCCTGTGTTATACAGTCGGGTTCTTGCTATATATAGTGGTGTGTGTATGTTCATCTCTGGCTTCCCCTGGTGACTCAGTGGCAAGGAATCCACCTGCAATGCAGGAGCCACAGAAGATGGGGGTTCCATCCCTGTGTCAGGAAGATCCCCTGGAGGAGGACATGGCAACCCACTCCAGTATTCTTGCCTGGAGAACCCCGTGGACAGAGGAGCCTGGCAAGCTACACTCCATAGGGTCACAAAGGACATGACTGAAGCGATTTAGAATACATGCATGAATATGTTAATCCCAACATCCTAATTTATCCCCCCCCCATGTTCATTTACGTGTTTATTTTTTATCTTGTTAATTGCTTCCTGATGTTTTGTCCTCGCTACCTATTACTGGTATTGATGCTGAGCTACATTAGATCCTAGACAGTGAACATTTGTCTTTTGCTGTTTGGTGTCTCTTTTCATTTATGTGTTTGTCTCTTAACTTTGCCCTACCTATTTTTCCCATACTTAAACATTATGTCTTTCTCCATATTTATTTATTTATTTTTTTGGAGGAGGGGATAATTCCAAGTCTTTTCTACTTTATCCACCAGTACTGTATTGTTAAATTATTCCAACAATATTGACTGAACTATAATATGTACCTGCAAGATAATTTTTGTTCTTGCTTTTTTAAGAGTATATAATACAAATTTTTTGTGTTTTCATTTGAAATTCTTTTTCCACATAAGGAATGATGAAGTTTCTACATTTTTTTCTTTTTAAATACTTGTCAGTTGAAAGGACAAGATTTACTGAAAGCTCAAATTTTCCCCAGAGTTGAAAGGCCATATCTGTCGAATATGAGATTTGAATATAAAACTGGATCTATTTTTAGATTCTTATTCTATTCCTCTAATCCTGCCATCAATTGCTGTGCCCAAAATGTACCATAGCATTTTAATTATTTAGCTTTAAAATACATTTTATTGTCTGGTGAGTCATATGATCCTCTTTGTACTTCTTTTAATAATGCTCATCCTTATTTTTCTATGTTCCTTTTCTGGATAAGATTTAGAGTAACTTTTGTTGTGTTCTTAAAATGCCAGGGGAAATCTCTATTAAGATGTCATTAAATTCACAAATAAGACTGGGAAGGCTTCGTATCTTTATGAAATGTAATTTTCCCGTCTGATATGCTTGCAGTTTTTTAATATATACATCATCTGTTTGTACACATAACACAACTTTTAAATTATGTTTTAGCGAGAGGTCGCAAAATGAACATGACATATAAATGTTGAATTTGTATGTCGATAGAAAAATAAGACCTGAGTGTTCAGGCATTCTGCTCAGGCAGGAACCTCCATGAACCTCACCCCCACCCCCACCCCAGAACATTGTAACACTGAGTAAAGGGCTCAGAGATGCCATTCTCTTATCCTAGGAATATTCTGTTTTAATCCATCATTTGTGAGTTAATGGAATGCATCGCCACATGTTCTGACCCTGAAGGTTTGAAGGTCTGAAGCGTTCTCGGGGACAAGGAAGTCTCATCCACCTACTGCGTGCTGGCCATAGATGTTTCTCTCCATCTGGCAGAAAACAGTCTCTCTCACTTAAAGGGCTGACCTTACACTCTGACGCCTCTGATCTTTTGTCTCTTGGCTTCATCACTGAGCAGGTTACATTATTGCTTAGTCTTTACGTCTATAGTGAAAATTCCCTAACATTTTTAACTTAGACTCTGTGAAGGCTTATCACTCTGATTCTTCTGTGAAACAATAGCTTGATGACCCAGGTACTGTCAGCATGCACCATCTGCAAAGGAAGACTTGAGGCAGTTCGGTGACTGAGGGCTCACACGTACACAATGAAGCCTGGAAGCATGCCCAACCTGCATGGCCCGCCGTCTCACCATGCACTTTATGTTATTTCTCTTTCTGTCCACCGACAGGAGAGATCAATCAATGCGGACACCGTTAGTTGAAGGTGGGAAGATTGCTGCTTTGGAGCACAGCCTGCCATCAGTTAGGGTCACCAGTCGATCTTCATCTGAGAGAGAAATGAGCTGCTTTTACTATGTCCATGCATCATTCATTGGGACTGATCACATCAGTTAGTATTGTTATTGTTGTTGTTCAGTTGCTAAGTAGAGGCTGACTCTTTGCAACCCCATGGATTGCAGCACACCAGGCTTCCCTGGCATCCTTGGTGTTCCCTTCGATCACCATCTCCCAGAGTTTGCTCAAACTTATGTCTATCGAGTCAGTGATGCCATCCAACCATCTCATCCTCTGTGGCCCCCTTCTCCCACCCTCAATCTTTCCCAGCATCAGGGTCTTTTACAATGAGTCAGTTCTTCACATCGGATGGAGCTTCAGCTTCAGCAATCGATCTTCCAATGACTATTCAGAGTTGATTTCCTTTAGGATTGACTGGTTTGATCGCCTTGCTGTCCAAGAGATTCTCAAGAGTCTTCTCCAGCAGCACAATTTGAAAGCATCAATTATTTGGCACTCAGCTTTCTTTCTGGTCCAACTTTCAGTTAGTATTAGTAATGCATTTAATGAATCACATTACATAAAACATATAATGAATCACATTTGTTGCATGTTAAAGTAAATTTCAAATAATTGCACAACCATAGCTGGGATGACAATCAAGTTAGGGAATGAAGAGAAAGTCAGGGATGAGTTTGATTTGCAATATTCAGAAGGTGAAGTCCTCTTCTCTGGTTCAGAGGACAAGTTTGACTCTAAGTAACAGGCAGAGAAAAGGAAAAGGAGCTAAACAGATGACCAAGCAGAAATACAAGTGCTATTAATACCCATGGTGGTATTTCTGGATCCAGATGGAATAATTTATCCACTGTGATGGAGCCAGTTAGAAGTCTATTTGCAGTTCTATGTGTAGACATGGAAATGAATGGGGGTATGAACATGAGCCTGAATCTGTATGTGGACATAGATGTAAGATCAGACAGAGACATAGGCACAGGTGGTGTCAATACAAATCAGACAGAGATAGACAAAGGCATAGCTGTGGATGCTTCCCTGGTGGTTCAGTGGTAACGAATCTGCCTGCCAATGCAGAAGACATGAGAAAAACGGGAATCCCTGGGTCGAGAAGATCCCCTGGAGAAGGTCATGGTAACCCACTCCAGTATTCTTGCCTGGAGAATCCCATGGACAGAAGAGCCTTCGGGGCTAGAGTCCATGGAGTCACAAATAGTTGGACATTGCAGATCACACATGCACACACACACACACAAATAGATACAGACACGGATGGAGACTTAGCTGGAGATTGTAAAGGTGCCTACCTCTCATTTACTTCTCAACCTCTACCAGTTTGCAGAATTGTTCTATGAAGAACTCTTTCTGAATAATCCGTTCCCCTCTTCCCGCCACCTAGCACGTCTGGCTTCTCGGCTGCTTTTGATGCAGGCAGACGTCCCTTCTTCTCTGTGACTTTGCGGGTATCATTTGGTTTGGGCACCTGCGGTCCCTCCCCGGAGTGCCTGCAGCTCTGATTCTTGCTGTCCTGCCAGTGCCTGCGCCCCTCAGACCCTGCCCTGGGTCGCTCCTGCTACCTGCTCACTCGCTGTTTCCGAGGATCCTTGCCCACCTCTGTGACTTCAAGGCTTCTTCTTTGATGATATGGAATGAAAGTCTCTCTGCATCCTGAGCCCTTCCCAGTGCCACCAGCATTCTGCCAGGCATCCCCAGGGATGCTGACCTGCTAAGTGACACATCGCATGTCCGGAAGCAAAGCCATCATCTTCTCTAAATTCCACCCCCGGAGCCTCTCTTCCTTGTCCATTTTAAGGGCCTGACACCAGGCAGTCGTCCAGGCAGGGATGCAGGGCCATCCTGAGCCCTCCCTCTCTCCGCCTCTCACTCCATCACCAGACAGCTCTGTACACGTCCCTCCTTCCTGCTCGTCTCCGTCATACGCCAACAGCCACTTGCGCGGTGTCAGCCACATCGCTTCTCGCCTGGGGCCGGACTCCAGCTCCCTTCCTCCCCTCTTCCTTGGCTTTGGGGACTCCTTTCAGCTCCCGGGCTCAATCGCAGACTCTGGCTTCCGGGCCTTCCTGAGACGGCCCTTCCTCCTTCTCTGCCACTGCTCACGTCTGCTGCATGTTGCTGTGTGTTGGGAACTGTTCAAAGTCATGACCCCGTTTAATCTTGTTATCACCTCATTTAATTCTCAGAGGAACACCGTGACTTGCTCCACATTGCTATCCTCTTAGGCAGAGAGGGGACTCTGGGCTGTGTTCTTTTTCCTCTGTGCCCCAGATAACCAGCTCATGGTTCAGATTGTCTCCTGCTGGCAGCATCTTGTCGTCCCATTCACAGGTGACCCCTCCTCCGTGTCTAAGCGTAGATACCCTCCGTGCTACAGAAACTTCCCGTCTCCCCACATGGGCACGGGGTGGGGTCTCCCCAACCTGCATAAGCAGTCCAAGGCACTCAGGCCAGCAGCCTATACAGGACTCCGTGGAAAGAACTTGGAGGGCAGAGCCGTATCTGACCTTCCTCCGGTTGCAGTTGTAACCTCCACCGTGGGGGTGGTAGCCACGTAGGAGGCACTGCTAACTACACCTCAAAAATGTGTACACACGACCATCTAAGAGAGCTCTCAGCCACTGAGGGAGAAACACATTTTGCACCATTTGCAAATGCATGTACATTTAGGCGTTTTTTTGTTCACTGTTAGTCACTAAAGTGCATATGCCTGAGCAGAAGAATGTAGCTCAATGAGATTATGAAAATGAATTTTATATATATATATATATATACACACACACACACATATAAAACACCGCATTCATAAAGAAACACAAGCTGGAATCAAGATTGCTGGGAGAAATATCAATAAACTCAGATATGCAGATGACACCACCCTTATGGCAGAAAGTAAAGAGGAACTAAAAAACCTCTTGATGAAAGTGAAAGAGGAGAGTGAAAAAGTTGGCTTAAACTCAACATTCAGAAAACTAAGATCATGGCATCTGGTCCCATCGCTTCATGGGAAATAGATGGGGAGACAGTGGAAACAGTGTCAGACTTTGTTTTTTGAGCTCCAAAATCACTGCAGATGGTGATTGCAGCCATGAAATTAAAAGACACTTACTCCTTGGAGGAAAGTTATGACCAACCTGGGTAGCATATTAAAAAGCAAAGACATTACTTTGCCAACAAAGTTCTGTCTGGTCAAGGCTATGGCTTTTCCAGTGGTCATGTATGGATGTGAGAGTTGGACTATAAAGGAAGCTGAGCACCGAAAAATTGATGCTTTTGAACTTTTGTGTTGGAGAAGACTCTTGAGAGTCTGTTGGACTGCAAGGAGATCCAACCAGTCCATCCTGAAGGAGAGCAGTCCTGGGTGTTCATTGGAAGGACTGATGCTGAAGCTGAAACTCCAATACTTTGGCCACCTGATGTGAAGAGTTGACTTATTGGAAAAGATCCTGATGCTGGGAAGGATTGAGGGCAGGAGGAGAAGGGGACGAGAGGATGAGATGGCTGGATGGCATCACCCACTCAATGGGCATGAGTTTGAGTACACTCTGGGAGTTGGTGATGGACAGGGAGGCCTGGCATGCTGCAGTCCATGGGGTCGCAAAGAGTCAGACATGACTGAGTGACTGAACTGACTGACTGACTGATGATTATGGACCTAAACCATCCCAAAGAAAAACAAATGTTTAAGAAGGCAAAGTGGATGTCTGAGGAGCCTTTACACATCACTGAGGAGAGAAGAGAAGTGAGAGGCAAAGGAGAAAGGGAAAGATAAATGCAAAGTTCTAGAGAATAGCTAGGAGCTATAAGAAGACCTTCTTCATTGTAAACAGTGAAGTATAAATAAAGGAAGACAATAGAATGGAAAAGATGAGAGATCTCTTCAAGAAAACTGGAGATATCAGAGGAATGTTTCATGTAAGGATGGGCCTGATAAAGGACAGGAATAGGAAGGATTTAGCAGAAGCAGAAGTTAAGAAGAAGTGGCAAGAATACCCAGAAAAACTGTACAGAAAAGCTCTAATGACCTGGGTCTCCACCATGATGTAGCCACCCACCTAGAGCTGCTTTTGTTTTATTTTGTTATATATCATATTAGTCTTTTCATTTTGAATATTTTATTGCAATTGACATTTGAATACAAATTGTAATAAAAAATTCAAAAATAGCTTGAATTTTGTTTTTTAACTTAATATTATATCAATCATTTCACAGTTTATTAAACGTTACTTGTAGACCTAATCTTATGATTGTCCGTTACATAGTACATGAATATGCAGTTATTTTCATTAGAAATTTCTATGCAATTTTAGATGTACATCAAAGCTCATAAGGGTTATTGCTGCTATTATATTTAATTAAAACTTCCTTGGGTCTGATTTGTAATGTGGAAGCACAAGGTCAAATTTCTTAAACATTTTGAGCTTCTTTTTACAAATATCCAGTTACTATGACAAATGAGCAGAGTTGCAAAGGGCTCTTATGCCACAACTTAAATGAAAACTATTTCACAACAGGTTCTACAATTTTACTTTGGCAAAATTAGAAATAGCCCCCATGCCCTATAATGGGGACTATACCCCACTCTTCTAAGTCCTGGTTATGTTTTTATTATTATTATTTTGTTTTATTGGGTTTTGCTTGATTGGTCTTAAGAAATTGTATGTGGTATTTTGGAAAGAAGTTATAATCTAATAAATAAGCTTTGGTTTGCTTGAAAGGGAGACAGAGTCAAGCTCTGCAACCTGTCCCTCTTGCACCACTTACTCAATATAAAATAAACATTTATTAATATAATTCTTAGAATATGCCAATGCGTTGTATGGTTCTATATTTGTGATGACACCTCCTTATGGCCAGCTACCAAACAAACTTGTACATTGTCCTCCTATTTTTAGAGATGTCCAAATTCAAGACTAATTATTCAAAAATTTGTTTTTGATCTTGTGTCTCTTTTCTTAAAGAAGACTGAGTGTTTTTATAACTAAAGCACCATAATATTACCCTGCCACCTAGGGGTATTGTCAAAGAAATTTATCCATGCATAGTAAAAGGAGATAGAGTGTGTTGGCCAAAACAGAATTCTGTCACTATTATACATAATTTAATGACTAAGTTCTGTCACTAATATAAATAGCATACACTATTATGATAATATATATTTATCTCTTGCAAAATAATCTGTTTTGAAAAACATATGAGGATGGTGGCATGGAAATTAGTAGGAATCCCCCTTTCAGGACTATGGAAATTTAAAAGTGAACACAGTAAAAACCGAGCATTAGTATGTGAAAATGAAAGTTTTAGTGGCTCAGTTGTGTCCCACTCTTTGCCAACACATGGACTTGTAGTCTTCCAGGCTCCTCTGTCCATGGGATTCCCCAGGTGGGAAATCTGGAGTGTGTAGCCATTCCCTTCTCCAGGGGATCTTCCTGACCCAGGTACTGAACTCAGATCTTCTACACTGCAGGCAGATTCAATACCATCTGAACCATCAGGGAAGCCCATTACTTGTAGTTTAGTCAGTAAGCATGTCTGACTCTTGCGACCTCATGGACTTGTAGTCTTCCAGGCTCCTCTGTCCATAGGATTTCCCAAGCACAATTATTGGGGTGGATTATCATTTCCTTCTCCAGGGGAGCTTCCTGACCCAGGGGTCGAACCTGAGTCTCCTGAATGGCAGAAACACCAAGGAAGCCCTACCAGGGAAGCCCCATTACTGTGTGATGGGCCTGCAAATAACATAAATGCTTTACCAACTCTCAAAACTCTTTTATGTATGACTTCTCATTTATGACACTTAAACACTCAGAAGACAAATGCCTCCTTAGAATGTGATCAGTTGTCTACTGCTTAGAGGTGAGCAATAAATCTAGATCATAATATAAATGTTCAGTTCAACTGACCAAATTATTCACACCACTGAAATTGATGGAAAGGCATCATCCAAATCACTGACTCTTTTTTTCTTTTAGGTGGAAAACATAAGAGAAGATAATGACCTACAAAAACAAATCCAAAATAATTAAGAAAACGGTAGTAGCACCATACATATCGATAATTACCTTAAGTATAAACAGATTAAATGCTTCAACCAAAAGAGACAGACTGACTCAATGGATACAAAAACAAGACCTGTATACATGCTGTTTCCAGGAGACCCACTTCAGACCTGGGGACACATACAAATTGGCAAATTACTGACTTCTTATAGCTGTCTTTGCATGCAAAGTCACTTCAGTCATGTCCACCTCTTTGAAATCCTATGGACTGTGGCCAGCCAGGCTCCTCTGTCCATGGGATTCTCCAGGCAAGAATACTGGAGTGGGTTGCCATGCCCTCCTCCAGGGGATCTTCCCAACCCAGGGATCGAACCTGCATCTCTTAAGGCTCCTACATTGGCAGGCAGCTTCTTTACCATTTGTGCCACGTGGGAATCCCGTGGCTGTGTTTAGACTCTACCTAACAACTTTTCTTTTTAATCCCCTAAAAATAAGGTTTCCCTGATGAAATTCACTGACGTGTGAAATCTAAGCATTCAGCCCTAATAGTAATATCTACGTGCTCTGTGGATATGCGCCTCTCGCCCTGAGGGATCTCAGAATTAAGACCCGTTTGGGGAGGGAGTGAACACACACATGGGACAGATGCCAGAATTCTTAAAGAAGGCACACTTTGCCGTTATTTAAAGCTAACAGAGCAAGCAAATCAAGTTCTGCTTAGAAATGCGTAACTTCTGAGTTGGGACAATGTCTCTTTGTCTGGAAACCCAAGCACGCTGAAGGAGGGCCTCAAGCAGCCCAGTGGCTGGCAGGCCGTGTGTGGCCGGCGTGCCAAGGGAAAGCCAAGACATGGTGCAGGTCTCTGCTTGCTGAAGGAACCAGCAAGGCTGAGGGACGCAGAGTCTGCAGTGCCTCGTTCCATCCTCACACTCCTTTCCTGCAGCTACTCGGCCCAACA